GATGTGGACACCACACGACTTCATTATACAGCCCATTAAATTATACACAAGTTTTGCTGAACTTCATTTAAGCTTTATTTTTCTTGAATTTTATTAGAAATATATATTTTTTAATTCAATCTATTCAGTTCTCATTTCGTGGCAGGGCAAAAGTAAAAATAATCTTCATTTAAAAATTGTAAAATACAGAAAAACTTAAAACACCAAATACAATTAAAAAAACTGAGAAAACAGTTTTTACAATTAAAATTTCAATGAAAAAACAAGTAATTCGGCCAACGGGCATGAAGACGAAATTTCTGGGCACAAAACTGAAGTTAACTTTTGGTCACACCGGGGAAAAGACACTGGAGGTGGTGCACCACCTGACTTAGTTCACTATTCTACTAAGAGTTTCGAATGTAAACAAATGACGGCCGTGTTACGCTTAGCGCCACCTTTAAATTGTTGATAAGTCTACAACTATTGCATGCAGATTAAATAAAATCATAAAAACCTGACAAACAACAGCACAATTCAATCACTTTTAAAAAGTGCTCAATTTACCAACACATAAGAATAAAAAAACTGGACTCATCGAGCCAGGAAACGGAGCGGCAATATTTTTGCATATTTATATACGTTTGGGGGAAGGCGATTGAAACGCAAAAGGGTAGAGGCACAACTACATATTATAGCAATCCCATATACAAAATTTCAACTTTCTACGGTTACTCGCTTTTGAGTTTACGTACGTACAGACGTCATGAAACAAAATCTCATCTGAATCCATTTTAAATCCATTTCGCAATCCGTTTTGTAAAAAAGAATCCTTTAATCTGCCCGTACGTACGGATGTCATGCAAAAGCGTTGTTCAAATGCATTCAAGAAAGCGGTCAAAATGGATTTTACGTTGATATATGATACCCGAAATTTTTCGCTATTACAGTGCTTCCTTTACTTCATACAAGAAAGTATAAAAGTTTTTTTTCAATTATTCACGTAACACAGGGTCAGAAATTTGAAGACTACCAACGTTTTGTGACAACTGTTTACTCCCTGTGCTAAGCATCCACTACGAATAATGGACTTAGAGCTAGTTATAAGTCATCAGTAAAACCTGGTAAATTGTACTTTACACTCGACCTAAAATTAACGAAATTTATAGAAAGAAACATACTGGAGCATTTTGCAATTCCGGCTGTTGAAGAGAATTTATCAATGAAATCATTGCTTCCTGCCTTCATAGATCTAAATTTGTAAAACAATTGTTGAGGATTGGATTATTTACTTATGGCAAAGCACACGAGGGCTATCTGCCTAAAGGGACGGATGCCTTCGTGGAGAACTTTCTAAGGGAAACTGGCCTCGTATACACGTTACACATGGGGAAAACCACGAAAACGCCCATGCAGCCAGCCCGTTCGCGGGATTCGAACCTCGGACCGAACTACCAGTGGTCAGCGTCTTTACCGCTCGGCCGCCGGTGGGCCGCACAATTGTTGAGAGAGAAGAAAGGTGAATGCTATTGAATGACTCTCGAAAAGCCCAGATTATTGGTCTAGGTCTGGGATGGTTAAACGTTTTCGATTAGTGTACCAGTTAAATTACGGTTTATTATTTTCAGGTGCCCAGGAGCCACTTGTTATGTTTCTTTTAAAAAAATGATCTTTAAACCCTGCTTTGATTTTAAACTATCAAATTACATTTTGTAACTATATTTGCAGTGTAGTTATTAACTTGCATCTAATGTAAATTGAATAAACAATATTTTGAAATTATTTCAGTTTAATACTAATATAAATTTAATACTAAGATAAGTGTTCTAAAGCGGGCGACTTTTATTATAAGTGAAAAAATAAAATAAAAGTAATCAGCGTTAGATTTTTTAAATTTTTTATTGTGTGAAACATAGGTGTATTAATACAATTCAAAATATATTATTAATTGCCTTTATTTTTTCATTTAAAAATGGTGTCTTCTTTAAGACGCTTCCCTTAATATACACTTTTTACTTTTCAAAATACATTAATATTATATACAAATACTACATTCAAAAACTACATGTATTTAATCCCATTTAGTTCGACACTTGTTGCTTAACTTTATTACCCATGTCATTTACATTTGGGTCAGAATTGAAAGGCAGTATCGAATTTGTTATCTTTAATAACACACAAGATTTACTTAAATCTCTACCAATGTGTTTTCTTACAGTCGATTTTTTAGACGTTCATTGATGAAAACATCTGCTCTCAAGCGTATGAAGAGCAGTAGCGCAACTGCAAAATTAAATTGCAAATTTTTCATGTACTGTTACAAATTTTTTCATGGTCTAAAAGTTTTATGGGAGATCGTCCCATTATTCAAGGATTAAGTTTTCTAACTTTTGGATGCATATTTGGAATCTGGTATACTCCATTAAATTATTAGGTGCGCCATTTAATTCGGCTAGGATGATGGCTAATGCCGGATAACTACCCTAGCACAGCTAGGAGAAAAAGTACTTACTTCAAGCGTTGCTGCCAAAAGCTATCTGCATAAAACTTTAAAAACTTAAATATTAATTTTAAATGTTTCCTCGTGTTTGAAAAATTTGTTCCCGTATGTAGAATTTTCTTGAAATTCTGTCAGTTTAATATGTATCTGTGTCGTGACACCGAAATACCTGCCACAAGCCGCCTAGTGGCACACGTACCATAAGTTTGCCATCTTTGGTCTAGGTTCTGTTGAAGAACTTATGTATATTCTTGAACAAAATACTAAAGAGGAGCCCTCGACCGAAGAGTAGCTATATTTAAGTGTATAATATTACATTATATGTATGTGATACGTTACATCTTGAAGGCTGAAGCAAATTCATGTTATCTTAAAACATAAAAGTGTTCCAATCAAACATGAATCGTAATGATTTGCGGTTTCTCTCTTGCAAACGCTATGGCTTAATATTTTTCTCAAAGACTTGATTTGAGAATACGTTTTGTTATAAATGCTAATTTCATTTTATTATAAAGTTTGTTTTTATATTGCCAAGTGTGTCACTAATTGAAAAAATAATTTTGATAATTTACTTTACCTCATCACATTAAAAGATTTTTCGTGTTAATTATAAAGTAATTTGGTTAGGGTCTAATGGAAAAATGATTGTAATTTTATTGCAGAAATGCAGTAAAATGAATAAAAATTTGCTTTTAAATGCATAAGAACTAATGAACTAAGTGAAAAAAAGGCCATGCTTTGAATGTATAGATTCTAATTATAAACTGTATTACTTTATAATTAATTAAGCTACGTTCTTATAATTTGGAACCTTACTATTACTTCTCTTTTTGGGAGTTCTCATTAGGATGTAAATGAATATTTAAGTTGGATTTTTAAAGTTTTATACAGATAGCTTTTGGCAGCGACGCTTGACGTAAGTACTCGTTCTCCCAGCTGTGCTATGGTAATTATCCGGCATTAGCTATCTTGCTAACCGAATTAAATGACGCACCTAATAATTTGAGTCGAAACTTAACTCTCCAACTTCGAGTAAATTTGAATTTTAAATCCAATTTTCTGTTAATTCATATCCCGCAAATAAGGAAGATTTAGTTCGCAAGCGCAAATCGTGTATTTGTTCAGATTAGAGCTTTTATAGAAAGGTTGTTTAAACTTTCTTAGAACTCTGATGCAATTTCAAAAAGGGAACTTGTCGGTCTTAGTAGGATAGAATAACATTTAGTAACTTTAGCAACTTTTAGTAATTTACATAGAGTAATCCTACAAAATTAGCATCAAAAGGAGGAGGATGCCTATAATAAAGAACGCAATCATATTTGGTTTTGTAGTCTTTTTTTGATAATTTTTGGATCCTTGGATTCTATGTCTGATTGTAAAGGCCCTTATTTTGTTCTAACCAATTATTCTTATTTTAAGAAACTTTCCTTTCCCTTCTGATTTGAATTTCCTACCACAACGCAAATTTAAATGACGTATATGCAAATCTAACTGAATTCAAAAATAGTATTTAAGTTGCAGATTTTAAGAATTCGCAGCAGCTGAGTTAGTTCTGAATTTATGCCGCGTGTTTGAAAGTAGCTCTGTAGCTGAATATTTGGTGCTAGTCATTTACTCTAGATTAGATTGATATTTTAGGCTCGGCTTTGCTGCATGCAGCCGATTAAGCGGTTTAGATTGAATAGCAGACAGACGTGCATCTAAAATTTAATCCATTGTGATGGTACATACTATTTTGTGTTCGAGTTACTTAGCCACAAGTGGTGGTTGATTTGTGAGCACCGAGTGAGTGCCTGTTCTGTTCAGTTTAGTAAAATAAAAGATTGTTATAACCTTCGTCTGTAGTCATGTGTTTTCTTTCATGACATAGCGAGAGCTCGCTACTTCATGTTACAGTAAGGATCAGAGAGTTCGCTATTTCATCTTTATCTTTTCTACTTCATCTACAGTTTATGCTCGCAAAATAAACAAGAAGACATAATGTTTTTTGAGTTCAGCATTATATTAAATTACAATAATAGAAATGCTCATAGAACATGACTGTTTCCTTAAAACTGAAGGTATTTTAAAACAACTATAACTTTCCTGGTTATCAGAGTGCATATATAATTAGAAGATAGAAGAAGCTTCGTATGCTTAGAGTTTCGCGTTTGTATTTAAATCATTCTGTTCATTTGATGTCGAACAAATCTGCTGGTGTAGATTAAAAATAAATGTTTCGGACGCAATTTTAATTTATTAGTAATTTGATGTCTAACTCTAGAAGAACGTATTTTTTTATTCATCTGAGTTAAAGGGATCAATTATATTGCTACTGATTTTTTTAGTTGAAAGATCATTCTATTTACAGTTCTAATGTTAGGACTGAATCTCTTGAAGTGTGAGAAATTAGCCTACCCAAAACAAATTATTAATCTACACTGTATAGATTCATTATTACTTCGTTATGCACTTTGCTATTTATAGTGTAATTAACTGGTAACTGTAGTATAGAGGCTTATCCTAGAAAATTTTTAAATAGATTTAAATCTCAAATAAAAACGTCATTTATTTTAGCTCCCACACGATGTTGGAAATTGGATTGGGATGAACTTGAGCAAAACCAGAAAAGATTCTCATCTGTCATTCGATATCTTCAAGAGCAAGATTCAGTTTTATTAGCAAAAAAGCATGCACCACACACCACACCCGCAGAGAAAACTTTGCCAACCGGATTTTTTGTTTTTTTTCCCGCTAGAGAGGCTTTGCTAATTAAGTCCATAGCCGTCAATGAACTTTTACTTCCTTTCAGCGAAATTCCAGGAAAGGAAACACCAAATGGTACAGAACAGGTAAGAAAACGTTTATTTATTTTTAATCATTAATTAATTGATTAATTTTATAATGAAATAACTAATTTTTAGAGAAGGTAATATTTGATTGATGGCATGCATAGGTATAGCGAATGAAGCAAAAGAATTATCTTTAAATGATTTTCCAACCTGTGAATAAAGACTATTTTTTCTTTTAGTTTTTAAAATATAATTTTGCTCACTGAAGCCATTTTAACAGTGTTATCATTTCATTGTGCAGGCTGAGTATTTTTAATCAGAAATGTTGAAAAATTTTTAATTATTTGTATTATCGATTTTACAGTTGCGATAAGAATGCGCTACACTGAACTTTTCTTCTAGATGTTCGAAATCATTTCTTTTATGTAACAAATTTATCATGCTCTGTTTTCAACGATTTTAAGCAGTGCTTAAATTCAGCAGCACTCTACCGAAGCCCTTTTTCAGTTTTCGAGTGAAATCTTAATTCCAGCTGAGCATACCGCAGCTTTAAAGAAGACATGCTGCTAACAATTTAGTATTTTGTCACATAATTGTATAAGCAGAAAATTATATTATTAATGAAATATTATGTTTAGCAATAAGTAAAACTTATACTGATGCTAGCAACTGTGTCACGTCTTGTGTTTCTCTTTATTTGCTTTGCAAACATGAATGGTCCTGAATCGGAACAGGGAGCTTACTCAAGCTATGTTCAAGAAGAAGGTGTGTGAAGTAGACAACACAAAGCAGGAAGGTATACGAAACCCTTTATTTCAATCTACAGGATCTTCCGATCTTCGGAATACAAGACCAACCATGTGGTCTGAAGTAAGAATATAAAACTAGTAACTAAAACCTAACTAAAAGCTAACTTGATTAGATACAAATGCCTAGCACTAAGACGGGCCTTTATTTAAAATGGTTCGTATGTAGTACGCCGAGCTGCTTAAACACAATACGTGCAATTATCAAGAGGGCTAAATCCCTGGCCTTAAAGGCAACCGCAATGAAAACTCGTAAAAACTACAGTGGCAGTGGCTTGCTTCCTAAAACTCCTTCTCTCTGTCGCTTGGCGGCCGGAAGTAGAAAATAAGAAGTGATAGTACAGTTTTAAAATAAAATAAATGTTAGTAAAACTTAGGATACTGACAACTGAAAGTGCGTAAAAGTTTTCCTGGGAAAAGCAAATTAGAGAAACCTCTCCCTATCAACCTGCTTTTCCTTTACTAAGAAGAAGGTATTTATTGATTGCACTCATTTGGTCGGAAAGGATTAAATGGATTAGAAGCTGAAACAAAGAAGCAATTTTTTGTGACCGAAAGCTTTTCAAAGAAAATTTCATAAGTATTTATGTTGCTTACGTACTCTTCAAAAGATATGTTTAAGCTATACTTGTTAAGTTTTCTACCGGCATTTTTTGCAGTTATGCTTTTGTGCATTTATGAAAAAAATTATGAAATTTTAGAATTTTTTTATATTAATTTATTTATTTATTAGGAAATAAGAGAATGCCTCGAAAGTCTAGAGCAAAAGGACATTTACAACCCGCTTTCTGTAACATGCGGACTGTATTCTTACTTATCATCAACAATATCAAGAAGTAAAGCCCGACCGAATACTAGTTTCGTGGTGCCCATCATGACTGGAAATACGGTATGCAAATTTTACTTTTCCTATTCTTATAATCGAAATTAAAAGACTAGGATAACGTAGATATCATCTCTTTTTGAAAAATGAAGTAGATATTAAGAATCATTTAAAGAAATATCTATTAAAGAAACATTTCACAATGTCGAGTCAATTAGAAGCATGTAATTTGAAGCCTGAGAATGTATGTATATTATAAAATACGCATAAAAGGTTTTTTCGCATCATATGCAATTTTTTATTATATTTTATTTGCATATGCAATTTTTTTTATTATATTTTATTCGCATATGCAATTTTAGTGCTTTTGCTTTCTTCATTTTTAAAGTTTGCTTTTTTGAGCTTTAAATATTCTTAAAATAATATAGCATGTACCTAATTACATTTATTTTGCTCTATTTTAATGTTCTACTTACAAAATACATGCAAATAAATACTGAGGAGTAAAATTTCTTTTTGCTTTTAAATTCAATAATTATCTGTAGTTATTATTATTATTATTATTGAAATGGATATAGGGAAAGAAATATCTTTGCTATTTTAAAGGAGTATCGTCCGAAATTTTGTTGCATTTGGCCTAATTGTTTTAATGAACTAGATTAAGGTTAAAAAATATGGTATATAATATTCATAAACGATTATTAATAAATTAAGGCTTGATTAGAACGAAAAGATTTTAAGTAATGCTTTTTACAGGAATAACACAAACTTAATATATTTATTAGGTATTTTATGCTTATTAACCAATTATTATGATTTAAACTTTTATTATATAACTTCTCCTTTACATAATCCTCGCTAGAATGCAAATTAGTTTTTTTTTTTTTTTTTTTTTTGTGTATTTAAGCTGAGGGTTTGAATGTTCATATTAGAGCTTCTGACAGCCACATCTTGCTGTTACTTATTCTTTCCAAATCTGCAGCCCACCAGCGGCCGAGCGGTATTGTCGCTGAACATTGGTAGTTCGGTCCGAGGTTCGCATCCCTCGAACGGGCTGGCTGCATGCGCGTTTTCCCCATGTTTAAGTGTATACGAGCCAGTTTTTCTTAGAAAGTCCTCCACGAAGGCATCTTTTCCTTTAGGCAGATAGCCCTAGAGTGCTTTGCCGTAATCTCAATAAACCAAACCAAACCTTTCCAAATCTGCTAAGTTGTGTTCCGACTTTAGCATCTTTCTAGTCGATGTCTAAAATTCGCGCCTTTAAATATCTGAGACGGCTTGAGTAGTCTATTTCAGTGGTCTCAAACTGGCGGCTTGCGAATTGCAGGCGGCCCCGAAGCAATTTTAAGTGGCCAGCCAATATGTTTCATTTACATATTTGTTCTCATATAGTGCTTACAGATTTCGATATAGTTTTCTTTTAATACAGTGCTTATACATTTCAATTATTCATAAATTCATTGAGCAGTGGTTTGCAATACAGTGTTTATTAAGAAAGTAGAAATATTCTAGCAAACATTTCAGCTGTCATTACAGCGACTAAGAAGCTAAGGGAGAAAAGGACATTAATCCTATCATCTCAGGAAAGGCCACTTTAAAATATAAATAAAAACAACATTAGAAACATATAAATTGTGCTTATATGTGGGAATGCTACTGAATGAAAAAGAAATGAAATGAATGACTTAGGCAAACTCAGTCACATGGTCAGAAGCTTGGGCGGTTGCCCTATCCTGTGTAGAACTGCGTAGGGAAGTGAAACGTTGAAGTATGGCTGACATGTTGGTGTGGAAGGGAGGGACAAAGCAATAGCCATTTCCCAATCCATGAAGTCATTCAAACGAAGATATACACCCAGAGTGAAATTGACAGAGCAAAAATAGCATTTCATACGATGAGCAGGTGAGAATCGATAAACAATTAGGGTAAGAAATAACAAATAGGACAGAAAAACACATCAGAATGTTCAGCAACACGTAAGACGTCCAGGGAAAATCTTAAAAATCAAAAGTAAGAAGTTGGTGTAACCGGTAGTCAAAAAAGCATGGCAATCAGTCAAATACGGTGGAACAAGTTTATGGGAGGCTGGAAAGTGAGTATAATAACAAGTAGAAAAGGCATTGGATGTGGGCAGAGTTAAAAAAGGAACCCAGTACTTTTGAAAGAGTTTGCCGAAAATGTGTGAAATTAAAAAAACAAAAACAAGTATAATTAGGATAGTGTTTAATGTGTAGTAAAAGTATTACCTAAAGGTGCAGCAATGCTACACTAGGGCATTTTATATTAAAAGCATCTGTAATATCATAGTCCATGAGTGGGATAAATTCGTTGTTAGTAAGACTAATCACTAATCTTACTGGAATTTTTTTTAGCTATTCTTGCTATGAAAGCACTAATGCGTTCAACATTTAGTTCGTCATGAATAGCAGAATTTCTAATAAACCATCTGCTTTTAGTAATTTGTCTTATGTGACATTCTGAGGACTGTGTAGTCCATTAAATTGTGTATCACTAAGAAATCTCCAAACGGGACAGACATAAGTGATGATGGGCCGCAGCATAGTATTGTACAGGAGTAAGTTATTGTCAAGAGAGAAAAAAAAGTTTCAAGAAATTTAGGGGGGGGAGTGAGATTTTAGAAACCCGAAACTTATTAATAATATGCAATGTGTGGGATTCATAACAGTCTTTGGTCCAAATCACACCCAGAAATTTAACCTGCTTGGTCCACAGGATAATCGTGTTCTGTATATTAATGCTAACATTGATATTCTTTTCCTAATGAAGAGAACTGCTTCAGATTTATCAAAACTGATTTTTATTTTCCATTTAATGAGCCAGGACTCCAGTGTATGTATATGTTTTTATAATGACTGTGGGACTGCAGAGATGCATTTTGCGCCAGGATAGCAGTCTCATCTGTATACATGGCTAATGTAGTGTTAGGTAATTGTGGTATATCGTTCGCATAAAGTAGATAGAGGACAGGGGCCAAGGAGCGAACCTTGCGGGACGTCCACAAGGACTTTCCTACTTGTGGAATATGTATTATTATAACGAACCACAAAGTGTCTACAGCTAGGTAATGGAGCCCCTGTTCTCTGGTTAACAGTAAAGATAGGAAATAATGATGTTAATGATGTAATCTCAGTCAGAGTGATTAATTTGTAGGTAAGCCCCTGCAGCCACATACGATCAAAGGCTTTCGATATATCAAAGAAGAGTGCTCCAGTCGTTTCATGATTTCGAAGATCTTGTGCAATAAATTCTGTCGCCTGTAAGTGTTTCTTTCGGAATCCATGCTGTTGAGGAATAAGGATTTTGTTGTCATCTATGAAGCTGTTGACACAATAGAGAATAACTTTTCACCAGTTTTGCTGAGTGTGGAAAGTAAGCTAATCGGACGATAAGCAGCCGCGTCAACAGGGTTCTTTCTAAGCTTCAAAATCGGAGCAATTATGGGAGTCTTTCAGTTGGTCGGGTAATGTTGGATCTCAGTCATAAGGTTGATAATTTTGGTGAACTTGGCAAATCATGTTCACACCTATTTCCTTGATAATCTTGTTACTGACTTGATCCAGCCCAGACTTTTCAATGTTATGTTTTCTCTTTTCAGTATAGCTAATCACCTCTGAGGGCATGACAACAGGAATGTTGTTTGTGTCTGTTCTTGAAATGAATTATGTATGGAGTAGTGAAACAGTATGTTCTATTTGGGGGGGGGGATATGTTGTGAGTGTAAAATTGAGATACGTAGTGATTTGCTAGAGACTCAGCTTTTTGGTGTAGGATATTCTAGTAGGGCTGTTAAGGGGCAGAATGTTTGTGTTGCGTCTTTTATACTTAGGAACAGCATTCCAGACAGAACTATCGTCCGCTGAAAGTGATTCCAAGTATCTGGTCCAGTCCATTTGTGCTTGCTCTTTGATAAGGGTCCTGACTTCGTGATTGAATTTATTCATGATTCTTTTGTTCTGCGGACAACGTGGTCTTTACCAACTTTTTCTAGCATAGTTTCTTTTTTAATTAGTTCTCTTATGGTAGGATTTTTATATCTTTTTTCTTCTGCAATTTGTTTGTTATTTTTGGTGAGTGCACAGTGTAATTCATTCGTAAATTCTTTAGACAAATTATCTAACTCGTTTCTCGTATATATGCTTGAAGAGTTTGCTGGGTGTCGTCTAGAGCTTTGGCATACCCTTTCCAATTAGTAATAAGGGTTATTCTGTGTATGTACTGTAGTTGTTAATACCGATCTCCGTCATTAATAGATTCAGAAGAAAAGTTCCGAAGAAAGTCCATTCATGTTCTCAATAAAAGTCGGAGCATTAATATTTTTTAGCAGAAAGAAATCAATGAGGGCGGAAATGGAATGAACAGATTTACGATGTCAGTCAAATGAAAAAGTATTATAGACATTGTATGCTTGCATGCCAGGCTACATGACTGGCTTTACACTGTAAAAAAAAATCTGTAAAGTTACTAAGAAAAGTCGTGGAAACTGGGATGCCATGGATTATTTGAGTAATCAAAACAGGAATATTCTTAGTAACTTTACAGAGATTATACCTGTAATGGTTACAGATGTTTGACATGTAATGTTACAGGAAGTTGTTCTGTAGGCATAACAAAGTTTTTGTATGTTGATTACCGAAGCATATGCCTGTAAAGGTTACAGATCTTTGATCTGTAATGTTACAGGAAATTATCGTGTAAGTATAACATGTTTTTCATATGTGATTTACCAATGTAAACATCTAAATTAAAGAAATACAGGAAATAATAGTGTAAGTAGATCGTAATTTTTGAATGTGAATTACTAAAGGGAATATTTGTAGATTACTAGTGTTCTGCTTGTAAGGTTATTGCAAGTGATTATGTAAGAACATGTATTTTCATGTGAAATTTTAAAGGATATATATGTAAAAGTTGCAGATAATTTACTTAAAAGTTCTTCCAAATAATTATGCATATAGAACATATTTGTCTTATACAAAATACAAAAATGATGTATTCCTAAATATTAAATATTTTGATTGTAATATTACTATAAATAATTACACATG